ATTTCTATATGATAACTAAAGAGAATAAGCCCCAACAGTCATTATTAAAAAAAAAATTATAGGTTTCAGTTTGGATACTTTGAGATGCCTACAGGACTGAGTTAGAGATATACAGCAGACAGTTGATGATACAGGCTTAGTGCTCAGGAGACAGAATCAGGCTAGAAATATAGATCTGAGATTTATATCCCCACCATCTAGCATTTTAGGGCACTTTAACTTTGCAATGTGCTTTACAAATATTATCTCATTTGATCTTCAGAATAGCTCTGTGAGGTAGGTATTATTATTATTATTATCCTCACTTTGCAGTTGAGAAAACTGAGATAGCCAGAGGCTAAGTGACTTGCCCCAGATTAGAGAACTAAGAGGTATCTAAGATTGGATTTGAATTCAAATCTTACTGACTTTAGGCTCAGCTCTGTACCTAGAGAGCTGTGCTACCTAGCTGCTTGAAAGGAGGACATACTCCATATTAAACATTTTTAAGACAGAGAGTTTTAAATTTGATGTCAATATGTTTACTTTATCCCCAGGAATTCTCATACCTCTAAAAATATAAAAGGCTTTTAGATCATTGGAGCAGTACCAATTAAAAGGACCAAAAAAAGGTCTCCTCTAGGAGATGACATGTGAACTAATCTTGGAATGTAATTAGGCATTTCAAGATGTAGAAGACTGGAAGCAGAACATTCTGGGAATGGAGGAGAGCCTATGCAGACACATAAAGGTGGGAGATAGAAAGACATGCATGAAGAAGAGTAAGTAGGAGTGTTTGGTTGGAACACACAATGCATATTGGAATATAATGTGAAGCAAACCTTGGCTACTCCTGGAGTTTAGGAACCCAATATTATCATTTAAAAACATTTTTTTCTTGTTTAGGCAATCAGAGTTAAGTGACTTGGGGGCCACACAGCTAATAAGTGTTAAGTGTCTGAGTCTGGATTTGAACTCAGGTCCTCCTGACTCCAAGGCCAGAGCTCTGTTCAGTGTGCCACCTAGTTGCCCCTTAAAAGCAAATGTCCTGACCTTCTAAATGTTCCTTTCCCCCATTATTGTTATGAAATAGCCAAAAGATAAACCCCAAATTGCCTCACTCCTGAATCTCTCATAGTCTTTGAAAAACTGTGGTTCAGTATCCAGTGAAGCAAAAAGCAAGTGTTCCATTTTGAAGTATAGGATTCTGGGAAGTTCATAAGCCTAGAACTTGATGAATATAAATAAATGTCTATTTTTTGTCAATTCATAAAAGTAAAGAAAAATTGTAAAATAAAGCACAGCATTTGCTATCCAAGTACATTTGAAATAATATGAAATTAAAATTTTTGGGAGAAAATTCACTGGGGGAAATACAAGGCATATCCAGATATAGCATTTCTGATCCTCACTTGATAAGGGACACTTGTGACTTTAGAAGTGTTGTCATAAATTCAATATCAATCACTTTTTATCTTCTTCCTTTCTCCTCTTTCCTCATTTTTTAAATTTGTCTAAAACTCAGCCATCAGCTTTGATTTTGTTGTCTCTTCTATTTTTTTTATTGTTGAGTTCCTAAACTTACAGATAGTATGCTATTTAAAAAAAAAATACTTCATGACTTCTCTATTGGAGAGGTAGTATTACACAGTGGATAGATAACTAGCACAAAGCCAGCAAGACATGGGTTCAAGTCCTGATTCTGACACATAGTGCCTGTGTAACTCTGGTTATGTCACTCAGGAAGACCTGAGTTCAAATCCAGCCCCTGACACTTACTGGCTATGTGATCCTGGACAAATGACTTAACCTGGATTTGCCCCAGTTTCCTCATCTGTAAAATTGAAATAATAATAGTATCTACCTCTTGGTGGTGTCATGAGGATCAAATGAGATAATATTTAAATCACTTAGCATATTGCCTGGCACATATTAAATGCTATATAAATGTTAGCTATCATCATTAGCATCATCATCATTATTGTTATTATTAATTATTATTAATATTCAATCTCTCAGTGTCATAGAGAGTTCTCTAAATTCTCTAAGTTGCAGAGAAGGTGCCGACCTGTATTCTTAGGGAGAAATTTCCTTTCCTGGGAATTCCCACTATGAAGAAAATTTAGATTCAGTCCCGATTGCTCCTTTTCTATTATATGCAGTAAGGAATTTCATAACTCTTGCTTGAAACTAGGTCTAGAACTCATAGGTTGAAGCCAGGAAGACACTGCTTCTCACGTACTGTGCATTACACCAGTTGCCAATGAGAGTTCATGGTCACTGTGGGGATGTGAAACCTTGATAGGTTTTTTTTCCATCAGTCACTTTCCATGCCCCACATAGCAGAGATCCAGTTTCTGCTTACCATCTCATTCCAATGTCAATGAAAATAGCAGCTGTTATATTATCCCACATTCCATAATGGGATCATCTGTCTGGACAGCTACATTTTATTTTTAGCCAAATAGATGCTCCTACATTTGTCTTAGTGCTGTTTTCCCCAGAAACAGGATAAAGTGGGACAAAAAAATTATAGAAACCAATTGAGGCCCAGAGAAAAAGGCTGGCTTACTCAAGGCCAGACGAGGGGAAGGAATAGAGCTAAGATTAAATAATTAGGATCTCTGACTCCAAATCCATTGCATTTTCCACTATCCCATGTTAACACTAATAATCATGATACTATATCTTTACTTGCATGGCTTTTGTCTCAAGAGCAAATGCCAGCAATGATCTGACCAGGGTTTTAGTGCCTTCCCCTCCATTATCTGGGTCTGTGAGCCTGGGAAAATCAGGTAACATCCTGGACCTTCAGGTGCCTTTTCTGTAAAATTGGATGATAATGTTTATACTATCTAATCCAAGGCTGTTGTAAAGAAAACACTTAGAAAAAAAGTTCTACAAATAAAACTTATTAAATGGTGATGCACTATGGAGGAAAGATCAGTGAATTTTGAGATAGAAAATCTGGGTTGATATCCTTGCTCTGACTTGTTTTGGACAAGTCACTTTTTAACCTATGTGAACCCCAGTTTACTCATGCATAAAACAAAGCTGCTGGATTCAATTATTTCTTCATGGTGTCCTACCTCTAACTTATAATCCATGGAGAGCAGGAAGTGTATTTTGTATTTTTTAAATAGTCTTCATTCCTGACTACTGTGCCAAGCATATATGTTATTGTTGTTGTTGAATTGTGTCTGATTTTTTGTAACCCATTTGGGGTTTTCTTGTCAAAGATACTACAGTGGCTTGCCATTTTTTTCTCCAGCTCATTTTACAGGTCAAGTGACTTGCCTAAGGTCACACAACTAGTAAATGTCCAAGGCCAGATCTGAACTCAGGAAAATGAATCTTCCTGCCTCCAGGCTTGGCACTCTATCCACTGTGTATACTGTATGTAAGCACATATGGGTACCTCATAAAGATCTCTGTGTTATTACCACTACTAGTGTAGATGGAAGCAGTGCTTTGGGCCTAGTGACCCAGTTTCTCATTGAAAGGCTGGAATGGAGCCATGGACTGCTAGAAAACAGCTAGGCAGAGTAATGGATATGGAGAATTCTCCTTGAAGTCAGAAAGACCTGAATCTAAATTCTGTCTTGGTCACTTCCTAGCTACTTAACCTGTCTTAGCTATTTGTCAAAAGGTTATAATAATAACACTTACCCATAAGGCTATCCTGTGGATCAAATTTATAAATTACGCAAAGTGTTTTGCAAATCTTAAAGCACAATGGTGTGATTAAACAATTGGCAAGTAGAAAGCTTGTTGCATATGCCTTAGATTTCACTAAGAACAGGTACAGCATTTATGTTATAGTTAGTCATGGATGCCAACAAGAAAGAACTTCACACTCTGCAGTATAAGATTCACCAAAATTATAAAATACTGGAAATTAACAGACATTAGGAAAAACCATTTAGTACAGCTGATAATTTTGCAGAGACAAAAGTGTGGTTGACTGATGATCACAGCATTTTGAGCTAGATGGGAAGTTAGTGATCACCTAATCCAGGGGTTCTTAACTTCTGACTCACGGATCCCCAAGGGGTCTATGAATATATTTCAGAAGGTCCTTGAACTTGGTTTGGGATAAAAAACCACAGGCTTATTTTCACTAACCTCTAACAAAAATTGAGCACATCCTTCAAATATTTGAAAGCATTATTGTGAGCTGTTCATAATGCTCACCACACTGCAACAGGGATCCATGACACCAAAAAAGGTAAAATACTCCTAAAATGATCCAGCGCTCTTGTGTTTCAGTTGAGAAAACCGAGACCCAGGGAGATGCAGTGAATCTTTGCAGATCACACAGTAGGATAGCCAGAATTTGAACCAAAAAATCCACTGTTCTTTCCAGTACAATATGACTGCTTCCCAAGGTCACACACTTTGGTACTGGATCTCTCAATTCCCAGTCCACTGCTTGTTCTACAAAATGATACAGAGGAGATATCACTTGACTGACAGTGTAATTTAGTCTATAAAATAGCAGGGCAATTAGTAAATGGAATTTACTGGAATTAGGAGAGGTGCATGAATATTATTTTAATGATGATCTGAATACTGTTTGAATGTGATTTACATATGCCTCCAATTACCATGCTGTCTTATCTATGTCAAGTATAAAAATGAAAGTCTCTTAATGATTGTTGTGAAGTCTGTTGTTCCTTAATTTTCCTTTCTTAAGTCTTTGCACTCACTCTCATTGATCATGGATTCTCTTCACCATAAATGTACTGTTAGTGAATGTGTGCATTTCTTCAGGGCTATTCTGTCCATTGACCTTTCAGCAGGAGAATTCAAAAATAGCACTAGTAAATTTCCTTCATTGCCCAACCCAGCTTAGATTTTGCATGGCAACACATTTGCATGGTCTGCCCGGAGTGGAGGACAGAGAACAGGTGGAGAAGTTGTGGCCTCTGCTTTTAGTTGGCTGATTGCCATCCTTCCTGCAATCACCCTGAGCTCAGGTTACTCCCAGCCAGGCCTCCCCAATATATTGAGAGCTGGAAGGTACTAGCCCACATACGGGGCAGGTGGAAAGCTGCCTAGGTCAACACTCTTGTCTATGTGCTCTCCAAAGGGCAGACAGAGTTAACTTAGTTCTTTTTTTAAAAAATCTTGAACATTTTGGAGACACTGCTGAACAACTTGGGAGCTGGAGAAAATACATAAATAGGTGAGAGAATACAATGGGGTCTGGTTGGTGCTTTCTCTATTGTGTTTCTTTAAGTGTGATGAGTTGTTAACTACAATTTGTTTAGGATCAGACACCTTCCTTCCCACTCACCAGGAAATTCAACCTTACTGATTTCATTTGGTAGTTTGGTTTCACTTACAATGGTTTGTTAAACACATTTTTGCATTGTTTTCAATTAAAGCATCTCTTTTAGATATTTATTAATTTGTTCAAAAGAAAAGCCATAATATTTGCAAAATGTTTACATAAAGAAAGGATAAACAATAATAATTTATTTTCTGACTTTTCTCTTTTTACTACAGGTTTCTAGGTTGCTATTAATAGCTCTGTTAGTGCTGTGTTTCTTGTATAGCTATGGCTTCCGTATCCATAGCTGGCTGCCTGCTGACCCAAAATCGGTATTATCAAAGTAAGTCAATGTATCTTAACCATAGGGTTGTCATTTCTTTGGAGGCTGAGGTGGATGAGGAATATAAAGTATATAACATAATATTCAGGATAGAACAGCAGTATATGACTATGTCAAGGAAGAAAAATGAGCAAATCATGAGTTAGAATCCTTTTTTAAACAATGATTTTACATTTGCTGTTTTTACTTAGTTGTCCTGCCTCAGTCAAGACATTCTTGTTGATAATTTAATATGTAGATACTACATCTATTGAGGCAAACCACAGCTACCCTGTGACTCAGTTGAAGGTCTTTGAAGGGTGTTCTAGCCAAAATATTCATCACTTTGTGGTCAATCTAGTAATAAGGTTCTCTAAACTTATCTATCCTCATATTAAGTCAGAATTCTTTCACCAGTTTCATACTCAAAGTCTTTCTGACTTAGAAACTTGTAGTGCTTACATAGCACTGGCATAAATTAGAGAGCCCAAGGTCAATTCCATACAGTAATGAGGCATTAGGCAAAATTCTCTATGGCAATGATTAGAAGAAAACAAGTGTTCTTGGATTCCATAATATGTTTGCATATATGTTGCATTTGTATACATCTTAAAAATTCATAATTTGGAAACGGGCTTAGAAAATAACTTCATAAACTGACATTAGGAATCAATATGTAGAAAGGTTCTACTTAATAAAGAGCCAAAGGATTATTCGTATTAGAAGTTTCTACACAATTCTACATTGTGAATTTTCTAATTGTTCTTCCCTTGTACCCATAGGCTCTCATTCTCTCTCTCTGTCTCTATTTCTATCTCTTTCTGACTCTTTACACACATGTGCGCACACACACACGCATATTCTTCCTCTCTAGTTGTACTCAAGTTCACATATGAATATATGTGTGTATACGTATACATATATACACATATACATATACATAGTGTATATACTATTAAATATCTACATATGTTTAAAATATAAGTGTACTCATACACACATTTTAAGCATCTTTTAATAGACTCCATAGAGTAAAGCATTTGAGATTTGATTTTTACAGGGAAAACTACAAGAAGTCTGTGATTATGATACTCGATATAATGCCTGACACAGTGCAGGCACTTAATATATTCTTACTGATCAATTAATGCCTTTGTAGTTGTTGGTGATCTAAACATTTGTAATATGCGTATGTATATATATATATATATATATATATATATATATATAAACATATGTTTATAATATATATAACAAAGATGTAACATATTTATAATATATAAATATAATGTCTATGTATTTTGTCAAACATAGTACATTGAGTGTCATACAGTAGAAAGAGTGCTGCCTCTGGAGAAAAAAGATCTGAGTTCAAATCCTGATTCTGGTATTTTCTATTCATGTAGTAACCTCTCTCAGCCTCAGTTTCCTCACTCTAAAATGAAGGGAGTTAGACTAGATGCCCTCTAAGGTTCTTTCTAGCTCATGATCTAGGATCCAATATTATGAATAACTTAGAAACTTTAGGCAACTAGAGTAACTAGTTTGTAACACCACTTTGTGTATATGTGTTTCTGAAAGTCTGAAGACTGTCAATTCAGAATATTTTCCTGGGTGACAGCATCCCTGTTATTTTGAGTTCATCTACTCAGGGTCTCTATTATACCAAGTTTTAATCCTCTTTCCCACTGTGAGGGTTAGTTTTTGAAGTCACAGTTAGTCGGAGAGAAAGTATAAAGAAGTCAAGCAATAGCTTCAGTAAGTAAGCTCATTCACTCTTGTGTGCTAAGTACATATTTAGTGATTGGCTTCATATATCTTAGTTTCTGAGCCTGGGCTAGCAACAGAGGGTTCTCAGGTAAATTAACAACTTCTGTATTTACAAATGGCATGCAGTCCACAAACTCCTTGAGTATGAGGGTTTCACTGTTTTTATAAAACAGGAGTCTCTAGAAAAGCATAGTAAAGAACATGGTATAGTAGTTAGAGTGCTGGGCCTGGAGTCAGAGAGATTGAGTTCAAATCTAGCCTTAGACACTTACTAGTTGTGTGACTTTGGGCAAGTCCATTAACCTTTGATTATTTCAGTTTCCTGAATTCTGAGATGGTGTTGTTTTGTAGATTGAATGAGAGATGAGTAAAGTGCTTAGTATAGTGCCTGGCACATAGTCAGTTACTGCCCAAATGCTATTATTAGTATCATTATTATTATTAATTATTCAGTATTATGATGGGACTAAAATTCTGAGTACAGTATGAGTCTGACTACAGACAATATTATTTAATAATTATGTACATACACATACAGATGGCATTTATATAACACTTAGAATTTCCAAGTGTTTTTATATACACTATTGTTTTCCTCATTGTATATATAATTATTGTTATTGTTATTAATATTATTATCCCTCCACAGAATCCAGTATTTGTTCAGTAAATTCTTTCACTGGCTTTGATTCTGTAAACTTCACAGACATGGAGAAAGCCCATCCAGGTAATTAATTTAATTCATGGTACTCATAGCTATTATTTTCCCCCATCTAGTTTGTCATTACTGAACTTCAGTCACTAAGCATCATTATACTTACTTTTCTAGGGTTACCTGAAGCAGCTGAATCCAACTGGTGGTTCAAATCTTTTTTCCATTCAGATCCTGCCCCTCCAGATAAAGAAAGGAAAGATCTGTTTATTACTAGGTAAATATTAGACTCTTTTTTTTTTTGGTAATGATTTTGTTTCCCAACTAAATGAAGCTAGATGCTATTCTTTAATTCCCTCACTACCCAACAATAAGTATCTTTCTAAACAAAATATAATGAAAGCTTTATTATTTGTCATGTTCCCAGACAGTCCCAGACATTGTGATTTTCCAAATTTTACCTCACTTTACTTCTAGATAATCACTTCATCCTTCCCTTGCCTTAACTCCAAACACAGGCAGAGGTCACAGGCAGGACCATTTTGGGGGAAAGCCCTGAAAGGTTGTCTTCTAACAACCACTGCCACTACCACCCAATGGATTTTTTAGATCACAATCTAACTGCTATATCCTAACTGTAGGATAAGATCTAACGTTGGGAGAACCTTAGAAGTTATATAGTCCAGCCCTCTTTGCAGATGAGAAAATGCATCCTCAGAGGAGTTAAGGGACTTGCCTAAGGTCATAGAGCTACTAAGTAACAGAGCTGGGATCTGAACTCAGGTCCTGTGTCTCTAACTTCAGCACTCTTTGTACTATACCACCATTATTGGTACCGAGTTTTAGGTTTGTGGTTTCTATAGACTTCCGCTTTCTTAAAGTGTTATACCTCTTACTACAAGAAAAAAAAAACTTAATCGTGTTCATTAAACTTTTTTTTTTTACTGGTGCTTACATGTTTAACATAATCAAGCACAAATTATTCCATTGGACCAATGGCTAGTAACAAAATTATTTTTTTTTCTCATTGATTCTGTTGGCAACATAGTTAAGTCTGTGGATTACTTCTCAGAATATTTTTTCCAATTAATAATTGAAGGGAATATTATATTTTACATGGAGATTAGTTAAAACAAAGACATTTTTTCTCTCATCCAAATTCATGGAGCCTGTGGATACCATATTTTTTAAAAAAAATCTATGGTTAAAGCTTACAGAATGTTGGAATTAATCATGTCTTTGGAAGCATTGTTAAACCTAATGAAATATGGGAAAAGATTAGTAGCCTTGATAATTTAGGTCAAAATTCCAAATCCTTTCTTTCCCCCGTGAACAAGTAATTTCTTGACTCAGCTAGGTGAGTTCTCAACCCACTACTTTGTCTCTCAATGCAGACATCCCAAGGGCCAGTTATCCCTGTGCATCTTGCTGCTGCCAATCTTTGTTCTGGAATCTACTGAACAGTCTTGTAACATACTGAACTCTCCTTTTTATTTTTTTTTAACAGCATTAGTAGTTAATTCCAACAATTAAGCTGCCTCTGCCTGTTATAACACATTCGTATCCCTAAACATTAATGTTATTCCGGATGACCACACTCCACGGCAGTAAGGCAATAACTATTTGAAACCTCAGTTGGGAGAGGAGATAACAGCATTAGAAGAAACAATGATAATTCAAGTCATATTATTCTGTGCTGAAGCTGTCTCTGCACATATCATCAGTAACATAAAGAGCAATGATTCTACCTGAGAAGTGTACTTTTTGACACCTGTGCCTTTTCAAATGTATATATTATGTATGTATGTATATATGCTTATATATAATCATTCATAAAAGTTGTCTTTTGATTATCTTTTAGGTTGATTTTTTTTTGTTATTATTATATTCTATGTTAAGGAAAAGACTCCTCTCAATTTATCTCAATTTCAGACTGGTGTTAATGCTTAGATAAACTCAAATGCCCCCTCCCTGCTATCAGACACCAAATGACTTTCTTGAATAATGCTCATTACATCCCTCTGGAAGACCTTTCAGAGAAGGTCAGAGAGAAGGTCCGATATTATGAGAACTTTACTCACACAGGAGAGAGAGATATCATTATATCCTTATGTATACATCTTATATTTGAAAAACTATCTTCAAAAATATATAAAAATGTCCCTTTGTTACCAAATTAGTCTAATTGAGGTAAGTTGAGGCAGTCATTTCATTTTAGTCGCTGGATAGTGATATCCAAAGCGGCAATCTATCGTGACCAAATTCATAGGCTAAATCATTCATTTCTGCTTCCACAGAGAGAATGCCATTTGCCTATCACTAAGTGAGGGAGAAAATTGAGTCTATCATCCCATATGCAATGGCTGTTCCCCATGCTTTGAATGCTCTCTTTCCTAGTCTCTGCCTCTTGGAATCTGGTTTCCTTCAAGGCTTAACTTAAAGGGCCACCTTTTGCATGAGATCTTTCCTAGTTCCCTCGCTGCTGCTTAGTGCTTTCCCCTACAAGGTTAGCTTGTATCTGCGTTTCATGTGTGTTTGTGTGTGTGTGTGTGTTCTATATATACATATATGTGTATGTGCATGTTGTTTTCCCCTTTAGAATGTAGACTACATTAAAGGCAGAGACATTAGCTTTTATCCGTATCGCTAGAGGCTAGTACAGTGCCTGGCATATAGTAGGTATTTAATAGATGCTTGCTGGGTGATTGATTAATTTATGTTTTGGGCTGAGTTTTTTGTTTATTTGTTTGTTTTTGCCTGAGATCTATATAAATGAAAGAAATTTGTATTTTTGTCTTGAATCTTTTGGATAATCGCGAGGGATGTCTACTTCACCTTGCATGTATGGGTGCATTCTTAAAGACAGAGGCCCTATTTAGGCAGTCCTAACCTCGCTTTGTTTGTGTCTAAAATACAAATTACTGGTAATCGTGCCTTATGTTGTAGGATAGTAAAAAGATTTTTCTTAGTAAAAATTTTTGCTTGTTTTTAGTATTGAAATTAATTTTTGTGTGTAGTAATTTTAGAAAAAAATTTACAAATAAGCCAAATGTGTTTCTGCCTCATATATTTTTTTCTTTGCTATTTGGTATACATAGAAAGAGAAATGTTGTCGGAATACTTGCTGAGTTATTTGGTAAATATATAGAAATCATGTAGAGCCTGCTCTTTACCTTTGGTTGCTAATTTCAGAAGTTGTTTCTTAAACATTCATTTTTATTTCTTTTGTATAATGTTTTCAAATTCTTTCAGAATGAAAAAAAATTATAATTTCAAATGCATGATACATCATACTGGTTTTATATGTTAAAATAATTGTGAAAGGTATAATTATTTATAATTAAAGTAATTTTCTGATCACATTTCTGTGTCTATTGTCATGATGATAAAATTTTAACCTTATCAAAATATGCCCAATTATTAAATTCTTAGGATTATAGATCCCAAACTATATCCTAAGCTGGAAGAGATCATAGAAGTGATCAAGTTCAACTACTCATCTTTTACAGATAAGAAAACTGAGGCAGGAGAACAAATGATTTGTATTGGGTTACAGAGCAAGCAAGTAGAATTTGAAACTAGGTCTTCCTGCTTCTAGGCACTACACCATGCTGCCTCTTAATACTTTTTTTTTGGGGGGGGAGGGAAGGGGGAAGATATAACATTGATTGAAAGTGAAAAGAATTTCTTGAGTTAACTCAAGAAAGTGTCCATGTAATTTGTTCAATTATTTATTCAACAACTATTTATTGTAAAACATTAATCCTAATAGGAACTTATTTATAGTGTAACAATGATGGGGAATACGCATTCTATCCTGGGTTTCAACCTTACAGAATGAATTTTATACAGTGGAATGGGCTTGAAAAGAGGAATTTAAAAAAAAAGAATCTAGGTAGCTCTTACTTTAATTCAGCAATATTTGTAAAATATCTACTGTGCATACTGGAAAAAATGCAAAAATCATGCTATCTGTTTGAGATGGTGTCAGAGCTTGGCGAGATGCCCAAGGTTCTAGATACCTTTTCTAAGGAAAAAGTGGAAAAAGCTTTGGAAGCAGTAGGACTATAGGAGAAGATGGTTCATCAACATGCCTCAGATGTCCAATTTACTTCCCTAAAAACTTCACAGACAGATTTTTTTGGGGGGTGAGATTGGGGCCTTTTTCTTGGTTAAATTGGGATCTTATCTTTTTTCCTTTCAAGAATTCATGCACTCATTTGTATATTTTGGAATATTCTACTCTGTATGAATTCTCCAAATTTTATTTCCTATACATATATATATATATATATATATATATATATATATATATAAATAGGTCTATTCATTATTGGCCATTTGTGATGCTTTTTGTTGTAATCATTTTTTGGTAGAAAGGAGTTATGCTGGAGAGCATAAGCTAAAGGCTAATCATCAGGTTAAATGACTTTTGTTCTGAACCTCTAAAAGTCATACCCCTGGAAGCAGGGAGTAAGATAGGTATAATTCTATAGTCTAATACCCATCTTGGATATGAGTAAGAGAAAGATCAAGTGCTTAGCTTTAGTCTTACTTCTGGCATTCAAGGAGAAGTCATTTTCTCCCTTGGAGAGTTTTTTACAGGTCTCTATTTTTTCACATAGCCTGCAAATTGGTGGTGATATGTGTCTCAAATTTCTTAGAATACTTGTAAATATATGAAAATGTCAGCAAAATAATATTTAAAGTTTTATTACCATTCAAAGATGGATGTAATTAACTAGTATTTAGTTGATATGTTTGTCTGATGTTAAAGATCCTAAACACAAAATGAGACTTCTAAGACTTGAATTCAAATTTCTCATTTAGCAATCAAACTGCAAATGATGTGAACCTACACATTTTAAAAATGGGACTACCCCCTTGGAGTCCTTCCTGTGCCTTGCTCCCCTTCTTCCTCCACTCCTTTTTTTTTTTAACTCCCATCTCTCAGCAGCAATGATTTCATTTGGGTCAGTGACAACATTTGAGTATTTGTTGCCTATTATAATTTAGCTTAGGAAACTCCAGTCTAGAACTTCCTTCAGAGTTGGACCCCAGTCATTAAAGCTCTTAAGCAGACTTATGTAGATATAGTGTTATGGCAAGTTGGGAATCCATCAAATACTTTTTTTATGGATAGAATCTTATTTTGGGAAGATTGAGCTTTTTGGACACATTCTTTACTTGGTAAACAATAACCTTAATACCAGAAATAATTATGCTGGTCCTTCAGTTGGTAATTCATTCTAATGCTTCAGAGCAGTATTTTCTCAATTTGAAGATCAAACCAGCTTAAAGCAAAGAAAAAGAGTACAAAGGGTGTTTCTGTCCAGCATCAACTCTTTAATGACTGCCTTCTCAGGCTAAGTCACCCCCTAAAGATAACTCAAAGATTGGTGAGTCCCTGGCTGCAACCTCCATACTGTGAGAAGGTCCAGCCTTGTTGCTTACTCTACTGCAGCTCTACTGCGGCTCAACTGTGGGCCTGGCCCACCTTTCCACCAGTGTTCTGATCTCCTAGGGATTGTGTTAACCTGATTGAATTCATCCCCCATGATTAGTGTATTTTATCCCATCATATCAAATGATATTCATTCCAGTCCTTTTTGAATTACCAAAGCTAGTTCCCCAGACCTAACTACCTGCTCCCTTGTTCCTATCCTTTTCAACCCAACCTCCCACTCCACAACATTCCACTCACAATCTTCCTACCTCTTCCACTTGCAATCTCTGATTGCAAGCTCAACAGATAATGAACTTCCCTTCATCTTAAAACTTTCACTCCTTCCATCTTCTTGTACTCACTCAGACCAGGTATCCTCCTGATGGCACAGCTTCCCTGAAAAGGCAATAAATATATTAAAATAAACTTTGGGAAAAAATTCATGCTAAGCATTTTGTATGGGACTTTTAAAAAAATGAATTGCATTTCCTGGTAACCACTTAAAAGAGAAATATAGGCAATTTCATCATATCTTGAACTATCATTTTAGGTATATTTTAATAATATTATTGAGGGAGAAGAAGGAAATAATAATTTATGTAGCACCTATTACATGCCAGGCATTTTCCTAAGTACCTTATAACTCTTATCTCATTTGATCCTCACAACAATGCTGTTAGGTAAGTGCTATTATTATCCTTATTTTACAGTAGGGGAAACAGGAGCAAGCAAAAGTTAAGTGACTTGTCCAGAGTCATGCAGCTAATAATTGAATGAGGCTGTTGAACTCAGGTCTTTCTGACTCCAGGTCTAGCGCTCTGTTCACTGTGTTGGCAAGTGCTTCTAAGCAATTGTTTGTAAACTTCTGGTTGACTATAATGCTATTCCAGTTAGCCTTGTATCATTTCAGTGGCCAATGTATGCAAACATTTGTACTTGCAAAATATTTTTTAAAGTTGTGGGAATTCTATTTTTATTCAATGATAAAGATTTTAGGAAAAAGATTATCTATTCTTGAACTGGTTGGGCTTTCATTCATACACCCTGACTTGGTGTTCATGGTAGAGGGGTTGGAATAATCTTATCTCTTCATTGCTACTTCCAGACTCTGCCTTTACCACAATCTCTCAGTAATCTCTCCTCTGTTGAGGTTCATTCAATCTGCATTTATCTCTCAATTATGATTCTAGTAGTGCATATCTACTAATCTCTAGGATACTTGCTTTCTTTCCCCAATGACTGTACTATCTGGTTCAGTCTTTTAACTGCTGTGTTTATATTAGGAGACTTCTACTTACATATTGATGCTTTCTCAAACAAACCCACTTACCAGTTTTATAACATACTTGTTTTCATATGGCCCATTCCTCCATCACACTTCACTTCATGCAGAGGTGGTCATGCAGTTG